AGAAAGAAAAAAAAGAAAGAAAGTGCTAACTTAGCAGCTGCGTTTACAAGCAACGCCACCGAGCTAGCTTTAGAGCTAACCAAGTTCATTAGACATTACAAGATAGTATTTGATTATATTTATATAAAGCCGGGTGTGTAAAAATGGTGAAGGCTTGCGATTATCCTGGTTGTGCCAACAAAGATGATGGTAAATCGACTCTCAGTTTTCATCGTTTTCCTCTGACGGACGTTGCGGTCAGGCAACTTTGGCTACTCGCTGTGGGATTCCATGTTGACACCAGACTGGCAAAAATTAAAAAGCTCCGAGTATGCAGTGCTCACTTTAGCGAGGACGACTATGCGTCTTCGTGCCCAAGACATACGAAGAAAAGAATTTTGAAGAGCTCTGCTGTTCCTGCAACACTGGTAAACAAAACTACAAATGATTTTATGTAGCAGCCGTGCGTAGCCTAACGGTGATGCGCCAGGGTTATGCAAAAGCAATGTTGAGAATATTAATCATAAAACATAATCAATCACTCGGTGTCATAGTATTAGTGATGCTTACTAAACAGGGCTGTTTCAATCATCTGCAACTATGATTACGCTGACGTACGAGTAGGCTACCTACTCCATGGTTTCAGTCAGTGTACAATCTGCTAGAGGGCTCTAGGCTGTGACAAACTGAGCTGTCGGTCTCAGCTACTAACTCTAGAAGTAGCAGACCAGGGACGTCCGGAGCTCTGTATTTTAATATTATTTCGGTGCGCAAAGGGACTTCCATTTTGACTCATCTGCGTCTTCCTTGAAGACAAAACTTCGAAAAGTTTGCCAAGTACCCTGGTCTACCCTGGTTTAGTTGATGAGAGGCAGCCCAGTGTGACGGTATTCTGCTGTCGTCGGCCATGAGCATCACATAGCCTTGAGTGAGTCCCACACATGCTGTTTGCATGAAGTGCCATTTGGAAACAGGTCAAAACAGGACATGAAGAACACAAAGCTTTTTCTTTGAAATTGGATAAATGTATTGACCACTCTGAAAGACAAAGTGCTCCTTAGTGAAATTCTGCATAAACATATGTCACCGTTATTTGTAGAAAGTGAATGCTGATGTTATGTTACTGTTACTGTTTCTAAAACCTGACTGAGATACCTGAAATCCACAATGCAAAAAATGGTGTGTTTTCAAAGGCATGTGCTCCTGTTGCAATGGCTGAAACGGCACAATCTGAGGCCGCAACCTCTGAAGAAGAGCCAGCTCTTCAGTCAACCCCCCTGAAGTCCAGATTGGACAAGCAACAGTTCCAGATCATGCTCACCAGCCCAGCTGATGCTGGTCCAAGCAAAAAGCCATCGACTTCAGGAACATACATAGCCCTACCGGGAGACTGTCACAGGTAAGCCCATATTTTTCTACACGTTTAGTCTGAATAAAAAGCTAACAATTTCACATGATCAAAATGCTGTATGATCATGAAGCCCTTTGCACACTATAAGTAAGTGCAGCCAGTCAGCCAATTTACTGTACTTTGACTTCTCTGTATTCTTTTTCTATATTTATAGTCAGAAAACCCTAGCTCAGATGTTGCACCTGAGACCCTGGATACCACCATGACATCCATAGAGACACCTGTGGACAGAGATGACAGCACATTCCTTCCATTGAGCAGTGATGACACATCTACAAGATCATCTTCCTCAGACAACATTGCGGGAGCAGAAAGGAGAGGCGACTGGTCTGAGAGGAAATGGATTGTGAACGAGTCATGCCTAATGGAACTGTTTACAACTTGTCACACATGCGGGATATCCATTTGTGAGAAGAAGATCACCAGCCGTGGATCAAAAATTACAATAGAATGGACATGCATCAATCACCATACGGGAGTGTGGCAGTCCTGTCCTGATGTCCGTGGAATACCTGAGAACAACCTGGTATCCTCAGCAGCCATTATTTTCACAGGAACAACACAGAATGAAATTGAAGAGTGGGCAGATCTTCTAAACTTACAACTGCCAAAGAAAACATCATACTATTCACTGCAGTCCACCTATATGATACCTGTTATTCAAGAAGCCTACACCGAGATGCAAGAGGAGATTTTGTCAGAACTCAGGGAAACTGAAGCTGCTGGTGGACACACAGATATCTGTGGTGATGCAAGGTGGATATTCCCATAATGGATCATGCAGTATATGTAGTTAGTTGTCCTGTTACATTATAATTCACATCAAATCATGTTTGCCATCACTCCACAAGTAACTTCCTTGTTTGTCTTCTACAGATCTGATTCCCCGGGTTACAGTGCCAAGTACACCTGTTACAGCTTTATGGAAGATGCAACAAAGAAAGTCATCATGTCAGATCTAATTCAGGTAAAGTATGAATAGTTTTGCCAAGTAAGTTATTGAGTGTGTTTTATCACTTTGTTCTGCTTTTCAAAGGCCTCTCTGCATGTTTGTTCTGTATTTCCTGTTACAATGATCAATACAGGTAACTGAGGCTACCAGTTCAACAGCAATGGAGCCTGTTGGTTTCCGGAGGGGCCTGGATCGTCTGCTGGACTCCGGCGTTGGTGTTGACGTGGTTACTACTGACCGGGCTCCATCAATACGGAAGATCATGATGCACACCTGAAAGAAAAATGTCTGCACCTAGGCCTGGTTGCTGCTCAAGGCCAAGAACCATACAGTTATGACGAACTGGGCTACTTCTCATCAAATAGAATAAGGGACAACTGCAGTACTCTGCCTCCGCATCTTATAACCTAGTCTTTAGTTAGTTACAGCTTTTTACTCTCCCCCTTCCTCAAGTCAGGGGCCACACAAATCACAGTATGTAATGGACATAAACCATCCTCATGATTCTTGTGTCACTCTTCTCATTCCCAGGACAGGAAAAGTACAATGTCATTCACTCAAGGCAATCAAACCAGTGGGTGGCAAGAAAGCTGTATGAGCCAACAACGCAGGAGTTCCGGAAAGGATTGGTGGAGCGGGTCATTCGACGGCGGCTTGACAAGAATGTCAGGCTTGGAGATCCCGCTTTCCATGTCCATCCTCCTGTCAGCATACCGGCCAACATTGCTCCCACTCCAAAGCCAAACAAGGCTGACTTGGTTGCAGAACATGCGTCACGCTTTCCAACTAAACATACTGGTGATACAGATGTTGATGTCTGAGACTGAAATAAAAACCTTATTTGTGATTGTTGTACTTTTCATTATTTTTCCCCATTTTCTCATAATTCCTATCGTACTGTAAGCGTCGTCAAAACCATTACAACTGATGTCTTGGTGAACATAGTCTTATTTTATTATTGAAATGTTAGTCATTTGTTGCGTAAATAATTTGTAACATTTTTAGTGTAAATAATTTGTAGAAAATCAGAAAAACAGTAGAAAATGTAGAAAACAGCAAAACTTCTATAAGTAAAACATTTGGAACGTGTGAAGTAAAATATTTAAAACAATTGCTGTGCATCCGCTGATTCTTTGAAACCTGCATATTGCCCAGTTGGTGATGGATAAGTTCTTCTTATTAGCTCCACCACACAGGAAGGAAGAACTCTCCTGTTGCCTGGACCAAGCTTCTCTCCTTTTAGACCCCATTCCATGACGATGCGATAGGCGATCAGCCTATACTGTCTGAAATAGTAAACAACACAAGTTGGTGCATACTTGATATGACAATACAATGTGTGTGTTGGTGAATTTGAAAGCACTTGGTCAGATGTGATGTTGTGCTGTGTTATAATACATTTAGATGAAGAGAATGAAACAACGTTTTTATCATGAAATTGTAACATTTATAGTGTTTGGATAATAAATACTTCTTAGGACAATAGGCCTATTGTAAAGTGGGAGAGGCCTACAGACATGGTAAAGCTCAGGCGGCTGTCTTACAAATCTTGAAGGAAATGAAATAATAAAGCTAGGCCTATGCAACACCCTAATGTTATTACATTATTATGATAACTCATATTCCTATGTCCTAGCCTATTTCTAGAACACTACTAAATACACATATGATGTCCTAACAAGTCAATGCCTGAACACTTTTATAACGTTCTAAAATATAAACAACCTCCATGACTACAACGTCTAAGTGAGGAGTCAACACTTACTCTGCAGACAACTGACCATCGGGTCCAGCTGGTCTCGGACGCTTCTTCCAGTTGATCTTGGGAACATGGAAGAACGTTCTCAGGACCCCTTCATTGAGGAG